CTCTCTCTCTCTCTCTCTCTCTCTCTCTCTCTCTCTCTCTCTCTCTCTCTCTCTCTCTCTCTCTCTCTCTCTCTCTCTCTCTCTCTCTCTCTCTCTCTCTCTCTCTCTCTCTCTCTCTCTCTCTCTCTCTCTCTCTCTCTCTCTCTCTCTCTCTCTCTCTCTCGAATTAAACGAGCGTCCTTAATAATGCGCAAGACCGATTCTACTCCGGATCAAAGGATCCCATCCGCGTTCAATCGCCGCCAAGTTAAGCGGCTCAAGATGGATATGGAAATTCCGGCGGGAGGCCGATTTAATGGATCACCCTATATTATTCCGCGAATTCCTGGCGCGTATTCTTGACGGCACACCGGGTCTCATCTATTCGCATCCAAAGTCTTCAATTAAATGTGGAACGCTCGAGATCGATCTCGAGTGATCGTTATCGTAGCGTATTAATATTACTTGGTTAATATCACCTACTAACGAAATTACTCGCAGCTCGAATATGCGATATTGGAATATTTTTAAAAATATTTCATATTTTAAATACTATATAATATACTGTATAACTGAAATATATTTTTATTAAAATTTATTTTTTTAATGGTGGATTTTGTAATTGTTGAAAATGTAACATAATGGAATAATTGAAGAATCTAATAATAGATATTTTCAGTTTCATTGCCGCATGGCTTTATTTCTAAATCGGAAAGAAAATCGGCTTGTTCTAAAATCGTAACATTCAGCCAGATTTTTCATTAATTTGCATCTTAATTACGTTGATATACTTTAGAGAAGAAGAGCGCGACAATCAAAGAGCGTATGTGATTAAATTAGCTTTTCGAATGCGGGTTTGGAAATTCCATCAGGCCACTTGGGTTAATTGTACGAGCGTGTTCGTCCAATTTCTAATTCAATATACGACAATTGTGTCCTCGCATTCTCCTCATTGGCACGTACGCATTAAATTCCGATGTATGTTGGAGATGCGTGAATTGTGATCAATTCTTTAATCGCATTAACAAAATAATTGAAACTTTTTTCAATTTTTTGTTTCCAATATTTAGGATATATAATCTGAGATCTCGCTTTCCACTCTCGCAATATTTTATATTTTTGAAAATTAAATTTTGCAAATCGCACAATGAAACATGATTTGATATAATTTAAATTTAATTTACAATGTTATCAACATGTTTAATATACGTGCGACATACATGTAAAATAAGTACATATGATACGTATAACAAATTCTGGATTTCTGGATAAATATTATATTACATTCCGTATATCAGATTTCTATTGCAGATTATAGTCAAATATTGTATTACATTTCATCACATTGTGCATTACACGTAATGTTTCTCGTGGAATCTAGGTGACCGTGGATCTGGGAAAGGACGCGGAGTTTCAGTGTTCTGTCACCGGTCAGCCACATCCGGTGATCTCGTGGGCGAAGGACGGTCTTCCTGTGCGGGAGGGATCTTCGGGTAGGAGCAAAGTCACGGGTAATGACGGCTCGACGTTGCGAATATCGTCCATCATGAGGGACGACAAAGGGATGTACCAATGCTTCGCCAAAAATGACTACGAGATGGTACAAGCCACGGCTGAATTGCGTTTAGGAGGTAAGCTTGTCCAATCCTTACACCGCATGCTCCGATTTATTATGTAATATTTTACTATATAATATTAAAAAAAAGTTATCACAGACTTGTATTTTACGTTAAATATATATCGTTCCATAAAAAAATATAAAGCGAACTAAATTATGACAAATTAAATTAGCTTTGGTTAAAATAAAATAGGAGATATACTTTTATTTAATTAAATTAATATTTGTTAAACACTTGGGCTTTAAATATGCGTGTGTAAGTAAATTTATATTTAAAATAAATATATTTTCATCGTCGATACAAATGCAATTCAATTGGTTATAATTTTTTTTCTAATATTCTAACTCCTGCTTTCTGCTTGAGAAAAGTTAGGAGATGCTGAAGATATTGTAGGCTGTATATTATTATAACAGGTGTATTTAAAGTACTATAGTACATGCGAGAGTCAGGATAGATTAGCATGAATGTGAGCGACCGTGCAACTTTGGCGAAGTTTTATGAAAGTTTCCTCTAGGAAATAATAAGGCTAAATTAAGGCTATTAACGGTACACCATTAACC